TTTGTTTATTTTATTATTTTAAGTAAATCCTTTTTTCTTTTTAGGACAACCTTTATTATTTTTAAAATTAATTTAAAAAGAGCATTAGCCAATAATTATTATTTAGCATTAAGAATGAAATAATTAGAATAACTTTTTTGCAACATATTACTATTATTCTTAAACATAATGATCAATAATTTATTCATTTAAATAATTTACATTTTTAAATGATATATTAAAAATTATTTTATATCTTTAAACAAATTAAGAATAAGAATAATAATATTAGATAAAATTGAAATGACTTAAAAAATAATTACTAATTTCTTTAAGAGGATCAAATTATAAGTTATTCTAGATATTTAGTCTTTCAAATATTCTAAGTGTTCATTATAAAGAGTAATCTTAAAATTTTCTTTTTTTTAATAAACCAAAATTTTTATTTTTTCATTAATAAATTTTTTATAATAATCAAAATATGAAACAAATAAACGAAATCTTTTAGATAATTATTATGAAGAAGTTAAATCAGAATAAATAAGTGAATGGACTAATTTACATTTTAAAATAAATGAATGGTAAATTTTCTATTTTTTTATATATAAATATAAATATAAATATAAATAAAAATATAAATATAAAAATAAATATAAATATAAATATAAATATTTATAATTTTATATTTATAAAAATAATTTATATAAATATATATACATTTATATTTATTATCTTTATAAATATTTGTCTATTTAATTTAACTTTTTTATTAAAAATAATATATTAATATAATTATTTTATCAAAATATATTTTATTTAATTAATTATATATTTATATTAGTATTTATATATTTTTATTAATATTTTTTTTTATATTTTTTAAATATTTTATATTTTTTCTAAATTTTAATTTATTTTAATTATAATGATTATATATATTAACTATATATTATATTAGATTTTTTTTTAAATTTTTTTTTTATTAATCATAAAAAATACTAATTTATTTATTTTTACACATGTGTTTAACTTTTTTTTCTTAGTTATAATTTTTATTTTATTTTAAAAAAGACAAAATTAAAGTTTAAATTTTTTTACCATTAGTTGATTAATTAATAATTATTTAGAGTCTTTAATATTTTTATTACTTTAAATAAACAATATAATATAATTAATAATAATTATAATAAATTTATTTATTTAATTTTTTATATTATATATATATTCATATATGATATACATTTTATTAATTTTATTTTATTATATAATTTTAGCTTTATTTTTTTTTCTATTAAAATATTAAAAATCATTTTTTTTATTTATTTATTAATTTTTAATTATTTTCTTTATATTTGATTATCAATATATATTTTAATTTCTAATTATAAAAAATAAAATGATTTGCTTTTACATAAAATATTATTTATTATTTATATAATGAATATAAATGATGATAAAAAATATTATATATGATTTATTTTTAATTTTATTATTTATAAACTCATTAAATTTTTGCATTAGATTTATAATATTTTAATCCATATACAAATTAAGAATTAGCCTGCTTTAAATTTTGTTAAAAATGAACGTATAAATACTAAATTATTCTTTTAATTTAAGCCTCTTCTATAATTTGATTTAGTTTATATATGTAATTAAAATGGTTTCTAGTAAATAATAATTTATATTACATAAAAAATAAACTTCTATCCATTTTTTTGTAGATTATTTTAAATATTTCATTTTTATTTTGTCATTAGATTAAAAATTATATTTTTAAATAATGTTACTTATTATAATAAAAATAGGTTATTATATATTCAAGAGTTTTCAAATTTAATAGTTTAAAAAGAGTTAAATATATTTTTAAAAATTAGAAAATTATGTTACTATCACTATAAAATTATGCAAAAGTAAATTAATAAGATTAGTGAATGAAAGTGTTATATTAACATTATTTATAGTAAAATATGTTAAATTAATATTTTAAATAAGCTTTGAAAGTAATTAAGTTTGATTTTTTTTCTAAAAAAATAAATATTACTTGCTTCATTAATTTTTTATAAAAGACTATATTAAATATTTAATATATTTATTTTGCTATAATTTAACCAAGTTTTATTAAATAAATGTAAATTTATATATTAAAATTAAATGTGAAAATTATGAAAAACCAAATAAATTTGTTATTCATTTTAAGTTTAAAAAAGTATAAAATTTTAAATAATACTTTATCTCATTTATATTAAAAAAATTATGAAAGAATATTATAATATATTTTTAACAGAAGATTTTAGATTTTAAAAAGTTATATTTAAATGTATAAATAAAAATTACTTAAACAATAATTATAAAAGTAATATATAAAAATATATTACTATAAAGAATAAAAGCAATCAATAAAAAAAATATAAATATTTATAAGAAAAATACTTAAAAAAAAATATAAAAATTGAAATTTTAAAGACATTCAAATATTAATAAAAAACAATACATAATATAGGAAATAGATAGATAAATATAAATTACATCTACATAATCAATAGAATAATATATTTTTAATAATTAATTAGACTACTCTTAATGCCAATTTGAATTAAAATTAATAAAAAAGAATAAACTACTTTTCAACTAAACAAAATATGTATATTTATTAAATGATTTTCTTATTATATGAAATAAACCTTATAAAATATTCCTGATTAAGTAATTGAATTGTTGCCAAACAAAAAAGTTACATGGATTTATGATAAAGGTAAAATTAATTATTAATTAAAAGGATTTAGCTTAAATGATAAAAAGAATAAAGAATATATTTTTTTAGCTGAAGAAATTGTTTTGATTAAACTTAAAGAAATTTTTGCTCAGAAAATATTTTAGGCAAGATTTTAAGATGAATATGAAGTTTTATCTGAGATAGGAAAAGGAAATTATGCACGAGTAATTAAAATAAAGAGTATTTTTATTTAAAAGGAATATAAATAGAAATAATTATTTATTTAATAATTATTTATTTTTTATTTATATTTTAGGTATATTCAGCTTAAAAAAAAACAACAGGTGAAATATTTGCAGTTAAATGTTTTGAAAAATATAAATTATAAAATATTGAAAATGGAATTGTAAAAAATAAAAAAAAATTAATAAATAAAAACTAAATTGTAGTTATCACTTTATAATGAACTTAAGATTATGCGAAGTTTACGTTAACATGAAAATATAATTAAATTCTATGAAATATTTGAAGGGGCAAATACAATTTATTTAGTAATGGAAATAGTTTAAGGCATTTCTTTATTAGATGAAATAAATAATCATGCCTATACTCCTTTCAAAGATGCAGAAATATAAGACTTAATGAAATAATTAATTAGTGGTGTATAAAGTTGTTCTTAGAAAGGAATAATGCATCGCGATTTGAAACCTGAAAATATTCTTTTGTAAAAAAAAGGTGATAAAACAAATCTTAAAATAGTTGATTTTGGTTTAGCGACTTTTTAAGATGAAAATCCTTATATTTTTCCTAAATGTGGTACTCCAGGTTTTGTAGCTCCTGAAATAGCGAATTTAAATGATAAATCTTTAGGATATTCAACTATATGTGATATGTTTTCTGTAGGAGTTATATTTCATATATTGTAAATTTATAAAAAAGTATTATTTTAAAAAAAAATTAAAAAAAGACTTGTCGGTGAAACTGTTTTTCCAGGAAATAAATTTAATGATGTTTTAAAAAAAAATAAGGAGGCAAATATTGATTTTACACGAAAAATTTATGAAAATATTTCTTTGCCAGCCAAAAATTTACTTAAGTAAATTCTTTAAAAAGAGCCTATGTAAAGAATTACACCTTAATAAGCATTAGAAAATATATATTTTAAATAGAACTAATTTAAAAAAGCACCTTCTTTTGATTTAGCATAAAAAGATTTCTATGAAATAGAAAATATATAAAAAAACGAAGAAAATATAAGAAGCAAATAAGTATCAATGTTTATAGGACCTGTAAGAATTCCAAATATTATAAAAGAAAGATCAAATGAAAATTCAGTATCTTTTAGAAATTTTAATAAATGCAAACAAAATTAAGAATAAATAAAATAAAATCTAAAATGATGAAGTGAAAGAAATGGAAAATATAACTTTTAATTTTTAATAATCAGTTGAAAAGTCTCCAAATCAAGTTTATTTAGGAATTAATGATTTTAATGAGCTAAAAAATAAAGAATTAAGTTTCATTTATAATAATTATAATAAATAAGAATCTTAATATAAAGAGTAATGTAAAAATGTTTAATGAATAATATATAAATAAACATATTAATATTTTATTTCTTTTAATTTTATTTCAATATTTATAAATTATATTCTTATAATCAATTTTAGAATTTTAACGATTTTTTTTTGCGGTGTTTTCTATATTATTTTAAGGATGACTTATTAAACTACAATTATAACTTTCTGAATTACTAAAATTATGTTTGTTTTTTTAATTTTTTTAAGTTTGAGCTCTTTTTGGGCTTTCTTTAGGTGTATTTTTTTTTCGAAAATTATTTTTTTCAGGTGATTATAAATCTCTGAATATATTTATTTCTGAAAACTCTTCTTAGTTAATCAATTAGTTTTATTATTTTAAATCATTTGCTTATTATATATTAGATTTTCTTTTTTATTTATTTATAGTTTTTAGGAATTAAAAGGATATGTTTCTTTTGTTTATTATATGTATTTATAAAATACTTTTAGAATTCCTTTTAATGCATCCAAAAAACGATTTTATTAAATAACTTTTTAAAAATGAGTTATTGTTCCGAAATTAAGCGAAAATATTTAATCAAGTTTTTTCACTTTCTTTATTTCTGGTATTAATTATTCTATTAATATGTTTAAATCTTCATAGCTTTTAGTTTCTTTTTTCCTTTCGGATATATAGTTACTTGATTTTGATGATTATGATTAATAAAGAGAACTATTTGAAGATGAAGAAGTTGCTTATTTTAGAATTTGTTTTTGATTTTTTCTTAGTTGATTTGATAAATACTTTATTTCGTTTTTTATATTTTATTATTTAAGTTATACAATCTTTTCTTCTGTTTTTAATTTATTTATTTTTTGTGTTAATATTTGATTGTTCTGGATTTTTGTGATTGAAGTGAGGTTTATTTTCATTTGCTTATTTTTACGTTTAATGTATAAATAGTTTAGCTTTTAAAAAAAAAAATAATGCTTTTTTATATTTTGTTAAATAATTAAAAATTTATTTTTTATTTAATGATTAATATAATTTACTTAATTTGCAAAAATATAAATTATTTTAATTTTATTTTAAACATTCTTTTAGTAAAAATTAATATTTCTTAATTAATGCTTTTATATAAATATATTAATTATTTAATATATTTTATTAATTTAATTAATATATTTTTATTTGAATAATTTATATTTTTAACTCTTATATATACTTAAGAAAAATTAAGTGGAGTAATTTACAATAATTATTTAACGATAAAATAAAAATAAAATATTTTATGTTTAAAAAACAATTAAAATTTATTTTTAAAAATGTTGTAAAAGAAATATTTTAAAATATGTATTTTCTAAATTTACGAAAAGCTTCCGGTAAAGATTATTTTTCAAAATCTTAAATTTTAAGGGGAATGGAAGAACTTCAATAAAAAATATAATTTTAAAATTTAATTATATAATCATTTTTATTTAGCAAAACTAGATTCATTTTACCTTTAAAAAAATAATAATTTATTTTTTGAAAAAAAATAAAACTTACTTTAATTTATTTATTATTATTATATTTGTAAATTAAAATTTCTTTTTAATTATAGAAAATTTCTTTTAAATTAATGAAAATTTAAATTATTATAAATAATTTATCATCTTAAAAAATTATAGAATTATAAGAACAAACTAAATTATCAACAATTATAATAGTTTTATTTAATTAGTTATTATTTTCTCTCTTATTTTTTAATTTTTTTGTTTAAAAAATAATAGAATAAAATAAAAAAAAAAACTTTTTAATCTATAAAGTTTAAAAGATAAACTGTTAATAGGATATATTTTTTTATTTTGAGTAGGAAATTCATCTTAATTATCTCAAAATCTTAATTATTTTATGATTCCATTAATATCAAAAACTTTCAAAATCAAATTTAATTTTTTACTATTTCAATTATGTAATATATTTTATAATTTATATCACTTAAATGCCTTTATATTTATTTATATTTCTCGGATTAAACATTTTAAGTATATTTTCATATTTTATTAAATTATCTGGATTCATTTATTAGTCTTTCTTGGATTTTCTCAATTTCAGTAACTATTTATTTTATTTGGTGATCAAATTAAATATATTAGTTTTTATGCTCTTTAATTATTTTTGAAAAATCTAAATTTATTTTAAGGTTTATTATCACTTTGATTTATATTTACATCAGCAAATTTTTTAAATAAAAAGCATTTTTAAAAAATCTATAAATTATTCCTTATTTAAAAAATAATTTAAGGCTTTTGACAATCACTATTACATATTTCAGTCATAAATCTTATACTATTGCATATCCTATTTCTTATATATTAAGATTTATTTGCAAAAAATTTAATGAAAAATATTTTATATGATTTTTGTTTTTGGTTTAAATTATATTTATTATTTTATTTAATCCATTTGCTTTTTAGCATCTTGATTCTTAAATCTAATAATTATTTTAAACTATCATATTTATTTTATATATAATTAAAATAAAGTAACTCTTTTAATTTATAAATATTAAATTAATTGATTTTATTTTTTAATTTTCTATATTTTTTTTTTATTTAAGTTTGATTTTTATAAAGATAATATACACTCTGTATCTGTATTTATATTTTTATTACTATTATTAATTTTTATTCTTATTTTATTTAGATTTTATGTATAAAAATAATTAAAAAGAATATATTAAATTATTTGATTATATATAAAATAAACTCAAATAACTTTTTTATCCGAATCAACAATATTTATTCATTTTAATTAATTTAGTTTTTTATTGAGAAAAAAAAAATAGTTTTCAAAATAACATTTTATCTACATTTTTTTTTTTAATAAACATATTACCAATACATTAATATTTTCTTAATTTTTTTTATATCAAATAATAAAAAATAATTATATTTTTTTGAACCTTCAAATAAAATAATTATAACTTATTTAAAAATAAGAAAAATAATTAAATTAAAATAAAAAAATAATAAATATTATTAAAATAACCATTTTCTTAAAATAAAAAACAACTAAATTTTAGGTTTTATAGAAATGTAAAACTAACCATAATAATAATAATAATAAGGAACTACCCGTTTAAATTAAAAAAGATCCACTTTTTTTCTTCCTGTTTTATAAGGAAGTAAATTAAAAGCATTAAGTATTCGTCCTGAATCTCCACGTACAAAGGAAGCATTATTAGAATTAGGAATAGAGCCAAGTTAATTTGAATTAAAGTATATAAAAAAATAAAATAAATAATAATAAAAAAATTAAAGAACATAAGAGGATTTTTGTAAAGATAATTGCAGTCCAGATATATAAAAACTACGTTATAACCATTATTTAGAACGTTTAGAATGTATTTTAATAATAAAAATAATATATATTTTTTTAAACAAAAAAAGAGGATATAAAAGATGTAATTGTAAAACGTTTACAAATTATGAAATTATAAAGGTAAAGAAATTTAAGCAATTCAGTATCTGATGGATTTAATAAAGATGGACCATAAAAATCTATTTGTTTATAGCCAACTTAGACTTTTTCTAAAAGCATAAGTGATCAAAAATTGTAAATTTTTAAAAATTAATATCAATAATAATTATATAATGAAAATAAAAAGATCATCGAAATAACTTAATGGATTATTTAATAAAACAGTTTCTTATTTAAAAAAAACTCATTAAGCTCCAAGTACTTAAAATGGTGAAGAAGTTTTAGGTTTAGATGAAACAGAAGGAACCTAAATAGAATATTAATTAATGGCAGAAATCGATAAATATAATAGGTTTAAAGAATAAAAATAAAAAGAAGCATAAATAATATATGAAGAAGATGTTTAAAGACTATTAAAAATTCAAAAAATTAAAGATAAGGAAGCAAGATTACTTTAATAATCGTTAAATTAATAAAAATATAAAGAGGATTTAAAGAAATAATAAAGAAAAGAAGCGGAAATTAAAATGTAGAAAATAAAAGAAGAAGAAATTAGATATAATTAAAAAAAGAGATAAGAAAGAGAACAAATTAAATATAAATTAGATTTTATTAAATAAAAATAATAAAAAGAAAAATAGGAATAATTAAATTAAAGACTTGAATAAGGTAATTTTTATAATAAAATAAATTTATATTATATTAAAAGTCGAAAGAAATAAAGAAAAAAAAATGGTAATAGAACATTAATTATAGTTAAATAAAGAAGAAATGATTAGAAATTGTGATATGTAAGCCTAAACTATTACATAGTCATTAATGTAGGCTTAAGAAAAATATAAAGAAATTTTACAAAATAAATAATATAAACTTAAAGAAAAATAAGAAAGAGAAAAATAAAGATTACAATTATTAAAAGAATATAGATCTTATTAAGAAAAAGAAAATGTTTCTAATTTTGTGCATAAATTAGTAGAAAAATAAGAATAATATAAAAGTATTTTTTTTTTTAAATTGAGTTTTTTTTTTTTTATGTTATTTATAAATAAAATAGAAAATTAGGAAAATTTTATAAAATAAGAGATTGAAAGAAAAAAATATATAAAAGAAAAAGAAATTTTAACTTAAGAAAAGAAAAAATAAATAAAAACTGAACAAAATATTAAAATTTAAGAATAATAAGAAAAATTTAATAGAATTTAATAATATATTGAAAATAAAAAAGTAATTATTTTTTAACTAAACTAAATTTTAAAAACATTTTTAAATAAAAAAGAGATATGAAGAAGATAGAATTAGATTCAGATAAGAAATAAGACAATTAAAAGAAAGAGATAAGCTTGATAATTATGAAAGAAAAAGAAGAAGAGATTAATATAAACTATAAAAATTAATGGAGAAATAAAGATAAAATTAATTAAATATTTAATATTTAAAAGATTAATAAGAAATTTTAAGAAAAACAAGATAGTAAAATTAAAAATATTATATTTTAATAAATTATTTTTAAAAAGAGAAATTTCATAATAAACAAAGCAAGAAACAGATAGAATCTTCGATTGTGTAAAACAAGCCACTACTACATTATTTCCTAATATGGGAGTTTTTAATAAATAATCTAATTAACCTTTATATTCAATTCCTAAAGATAATAAATAAAAAGGATTAAGGTAATTATTATGTAAAGTTAAATAACTTTTATATATAATTTTATTTTAACTTTAATCATAAATATTATAAATAGCATCTTAAAAAGCATTCTTAGATAGGATTAATTAGATATTTCTATTTTCGAACCTCCACAAAAAGAAGAGCCTAAAAAATGAATTAAATAAAAATTTTTATATTATTAATTTATAATAACTAAGTTAAAAATAATAATTCTTATAAAAATAAATAATATATTCATTAATTTTTATAATAAATTATAATATAATATAAATATAATTAATTCTTTATATTGAAGAAAAAAAATTTAAATATAAAAAAAATCAAATAATAATTAATAAATGGAAAAATATTAAAATAACTTAAAAAGTTGTTTAAAAATATTAAAAAAATAATCATAAATATGTTAAAATCTAAATCTAGAATCATAAATAAAGCAAATAAATAATTTAAAAGCAAAAATAAAAGAATAATTAATATTGTTTGAAAACTAATAATTTTTAAAAAATATAGAACAATAAAATCTGTTTAAATTAAACTACAGTAAAATCCAAATAGAAATGGAAAAAATAAATTCATCTCATCCCGAATTATAATAGTTTGCAAATTAAAGTTAGAAAAGTGACTTTTCGCTTAAATAATATTCACAAACATTAAAAAATAAAGTTAAAAGCAAAGAAAATAAAATATAAAACGAACAACTTAATTAAAATCAAATTAAAGATATTGCAAAAGGAACAACTTTTTAAAATTATAATAGGGAGTTTATTAAATAATAATTAAATTTAATTAAAGATTTCATTTAAAATATTAAATAAGATATTGATAATAATCATTAGCATAAAGAATATATTGATGAAATTTAAAAACTTTAAAAAGAAAATGAAGAATTTAATAAATAATATTAAATACTTTCAAATGATTTCCAAGAATTAACTAATAGTTTAAGAAAAGTTTAATAATTAAATGAAAATATCAAAATGTAAAATATTTAATTAGAAAATGCCCTTTAAAATAAATATAATTCTTCTATTTCTAAAAAGTAAACTTAAGATACTCCAAATTAAATTCTTTGTTTAATTCCTGAAAAAAAGATTTAAAAAAATATACTTTCTAATTGGGCTTAAAAATTGATTGAATGATTTTAAATATTTTTTTGTAAAAAAAATAGTCATATATACATATATATTTGATTTATCAATTTTCTTATTTGCTTTTTTATATTACTATTATTAATAATATTAAATTAATTATTTAAATAATTGTAATTATATTCTTTTCGTTTATAAATTACATATGATTTAATCAAGAATGAATTATATATATTTATATTATTTTTTTATATAGTAAAAATAAATAATTAAAATTAGAATAGAAATTTTATATTAGAAAAAAATATAATATTTTATTTTTATATAAATTCCATTTAATAAAAATTTAATTATATTTATTATCCTCAAATATTAAAATTTAATATTTATATTAAAATAACTTTTAAAATTTCTTTTATTTACTAATTAGATTTAATATTATTATTTTTAAAGAATTTTAAATAGATTCAAAGTAATGGATTTCAGACTATAAATTTTTTTATTTAAAATAAAAATAAAAAATAAATATATTAAAAAAATTATAATAAAATACTAAAAAAAAGAAAATAAAAAAAAAATCAATCAAGAAAATAAAAAAAAAAAAAATTAAATATAAAAAAAAATGTACACTCCATCAAAACCTTATATTTATCCAAGCACTTCTTATCCTAGAACAACAGCTTCGACATTAGCATATTCTTCTTATATCCCAAATACTTATTTAGGAGTAAGAAAATAAATTACAAGCACAGCCCCAAGACCACACGAATGGACTGAATATTAGCCTGTTGAAAAAAAATATATTGATTACATTCCAGAAACAAAAATAGAATATCGTCCAATTGAAAGAACTTATTAAGATTTTGTAGAAATTAAACATGTAACTGATTATGAACCTGTTAAAAGAGTTGAAAAAAGAATTGAATATGTACCTGTAGATCATTATGATGAATATATTGATTATTACCCTAAATAATATTCATATTATACTAGATCACCTTAAGATGTTGATTTAAGGGCTTCTTAAGTTTAATCTTAAATTCTTAACCCAGTTTATTCTAGTAGATATAATGGATAAGTTAGTGGAAATCCTTATAGATCTACGTATTACAGATCACCCTATTCTTATTATTAATGAATGTAACTGATGCTTTTTTTATTAAATATAAAATATTATATAAATAAAAAATTATTATATTTATTTTTTTATTAATTTTTTATTTAATTTTTCTTTTCTTTTTTCTTTTTTTTTTATTTTTATAAAATAAAATATTTATTTTATAAAATTTTCTAACATTTTTTTTTTTTTTTTTTTTAAATAAATAAATAATTGAATAATATTCATTTATTTATTTTATACTTCTATTTAAATATATATTAATGAATGATAATAATATTTATTTAATTTAAAAGATATAAAATTCTCCTTTATACGAGAAAAGAATAAATAGAAGAAAAAAAAATTCTTCTAATATATAATAAATAACAAATTTTTAAAAATAAATGTCATAACTTAGTTTGGAATTTCTATTATATTTTTAAATTATTTATTAGAATTAGTAGATAATGCATCACTGTAAGTTTGGGTAGAATATTAGGTTAAACTTTAAGAATAAAAAAATATTTAATCATAATGTCATATACTTAAAAGCAAATTATTTTTGCTATACAAAGAAGAAAATAATGCTAGAAAATGTTTATAATAAGTTCATTTATTCTTTTAAATAAGTTTAAGATATACAAAAAATTATGAAAGTATAGAATTATTTAAAGAATAAGTAATTTATCATAAAAAGTTTAAATTATATTAATTTCATTTCAAAAGAAAAATAAATTCATAACAATAAATGAGAATACCTAATAATAAGACAATGTAAAAATTCATTGATAAATAAAGATAAAAAATTATGAAATTAGAATTTAATAAAAATAAATAAATATAAGTAATATTAATAATAAAAACTAATATATTTAAAGAATTCTTCTTAAAAATGTTTAATAAAGAGCTAATAATGTAAAATATTTAATTTAGTATATATAATAATATAATGCATTTATTTATTATTATTTTCTCCATATTTTTATTAAAATGTCTTAAAAAAGTAGTTGTTCTTCTTCGAAAATTAATATAATGAAATTAATTAAGAAGAGTTTTAAATTTTTTAAAAATAAAAAGATATTTAAGACATTGAAAAATCAGAAAAAATGCATTTGCTAAATCTATACTTTAGATTAATTTAATAATTAAATTAATTTAATTAATAATTTTATCCTATTTTTTTTAAAAAAAAAGCTCTTAAATATTTAAAATAATATGCTTCTAACTAAAACACAAATAATGACAATTTAATAATAAAAGAGATACTATTTATATAAGTGAAAACATATTATTAAAAAATGAAGATAAAAATTAGTTTTAGGATTTAAACATAAAATAAAATAAAAATATATAAAGATTTTATTTTTTAAACCATATTAATTAATTATAAATTGTTATATATATGTAATATTTATGTTTAGTACTTATAAAATATTTTATTTATAAAATAAAAATATATTTTGTTTAACTATAAAAAAAAAAATGATAAAAAATTAATAAATTAACTTTTAAGATATGTAAAATTCATTAGAATAAAACGAAAATAAAATTTATGAAACTAATCTTCTTTTGGAACAAATAGAAAGCCAAATATAAACTTTAAAAGATAATAATTTTTATGAATAAGAAGAACAAGAATATGATCAAGATTTTAGCAGTCTAGTAAATTTTAAAAAAGAATAAAGCAAAAATAATTAAAATCATTCAAATAGTATTTTAAAAACTGAAAAAGAAGATAATTAATTAGAAAATTAATTAAGGGAAGTTGGAAAAATACAAAAAAAAAACAATAATATTATTATAAAAGAAAATCATTATTAATAAGAAAATCATTATTAATATGAAACCTCTAATAAATCGTAAAAAAATCAATATAATACGATTATTGATGAAAACTATCTTAATATAATTTAAGAAATGAGAACCGTAATATTAAAAAACGAAAAATTAATATAAAGTTAAAATTTAGAAATCAGTTAATTAAAAAATGAATTAATGTAAGCTCATTTAATAATATAAAAATTCGAAAAACAAGCAGAAGATATTTTATAAAAGAGTTTTATTTAAAAGGAAAATAATTTTTAGACAGAGAATTTGTAAAAAAATAATGAATATAATTTATTTACTATTTAGAAATTGAAATAAGAAAATTAACTCTTATAAAAATAAAATTTATATATTTAAAATAATAACGATATTTTATAAAATAAATATAATAGAATTCTTTCTTTGTATAATTAAATGATATCAGAGGAAAAAAAAAATACCATTTATAATTTGGGTAGAGTTAAAAATAATTATTTTTCGAATAATAGTCCTTAATTTTTTTCACAAATAAATAATATATAATAATATGACAATTTAGATTAAATTTATTAGTAAAAATTTGAAAGTTATAATTTTAGAAGTTAGAAATAATAAAAGACATTAAACAATTATTATTCTTTAAATAATAATAATGATTTTTAGAGTTTAAATTATTAAAAAAATAGTTATGATTCATCTCCATTTAAATTTTAGAATGATAGGAAATTGAAAACATTAAATAATGAAAACAATTTACTTTAAGGAAATATATAAACATTAAAATAAAATCTACATAAAATTTTTTGAATTTTGATTTAATAAAATACAATTTTTTTTTTTTACATTTATAATTAATAAATAAATATTTTTTTACAAAAAAAAAAAAAACAATAAAAATTAAAAATAACAAACATATAAACAAAAATGGGAAATATTTGTTCAGGTTGTAATAGAGATAAAAGCAGTTCAAAAAAAGGAAAATTAAGGATATTCCAAACAAATGGCACTAACTTAATTTATAGAAAATTATAGAACAAGCTATGTCGATAATTCAACTTAAAGAATAGTGAATGATAATCTTAAAAACTCATATACTAATTGCATATATAAAAACAACCCCAAAAACTTTTGGGAAAATATTAAAAAATAAACATCTTTAAATCCACATTAAAGGCCTTCTACAGTATATTAATTAAACTATTTTTAAGAAAATGATACATAGTTAAATACATAATAGTCAATAATAGAAGTAAAAAATAATTCTAATATAGGATTAGACACTAATATAAATAATAAAATTGAATATCAAAATATTAATACGAATTCTAGTTAAAATAATAAAGATGTAATTTTAATAATAAAATTTATAAAATATTTTTTTTAATATATTTTGTAATTTATTTTTTATTTTAATAAAGGAAGACTTTGAAATAAAAGCAGTATCTAAAATATAAAAATGGTATCATATAAAGCAAGATTAAAAAAAATAGGTTTCAATATATTATTAATGTAAATGATTTGTTAATAAGAATTTGATTTTTTATAATTATTCTTATATTTTATTCTTTTTATATATAATAATATTAATTTATTATTCTAAAATTTTAACAACTTATATTAAAAGATTAATTAATTAAAAATATAATTTGAATATATCATAAAAATAAAAAAATTATCAAAATTTTAAACTAAATATATAATTTTTTCTTTACATTATATTATACAAAAATAATAAAAGCAATATATATTGAAATTAATAAAAAATGTATAAAAAATATAAAACTAAATATACAAATTAATATATATATAAAATAATATAATAAAATTAAAAAATAATAGAAATTTCTAAAAACAAAAAAATAAAAAATATCTTAATAAAAATGCCTGACGACGATTCATTCATATTAGAAGGAACAGTTAAAAGAAAAAAACATTAAGATCTTAAAGATCCATCATAAGTTTATTCAGGTAGTTCGTTTGGTGGAGATCTTGCTTTTACATGTGGTGTTTCATATATATTAGGTATTAAAAAATATTATTTTTTTATAATGTAATTATAAATAAAAATAAAAAGCAAGTATCTTTGGCTTAACAAAAGGTGTAGCTGAAGGTTTGCCTGAAAATTATAAACTTCCAAAAAAACTTTTATTGAATAATTTTTTTAATTCATTAGGAAAAAATTAATCTAATTTTGGATAAAAAGCAGCTGGTGCAGGTATTTAATATTTTTAATAAAAAATTCTATTAAAAAATAAGGTCTTTTATATTATAGTATTGGTAATATTGTTAACTTTTTATTTGAAGATGAATTAGATTTTCTTGATGATATGTATAAAAATATGTTAATTGGAGCTGCTACAGGAACTTTATTTACCACAGGTAGTGGTGGTTCTTCTTTTATTAGAGGAAGTTCCCTTGGTATTGGAATTACTGGAGGTTTAACACTTTTATCACAATTTTTACATCAAAAATAATTTTTGACTTTCTAAATGAGATTTTGAATTTTTTTTAATCTTCATTTTATGTTATTGCCTTTTTATTTTATATTTGATTTATTAAAATATGTCTGTATATGTTCATTTAAAATCTATTTTTGGTTGTATTTGGAATAAAATAAAAAGGTAGTTTTTTCTATCAATTTTAATTATATAAAAGTTTAAATATTACTTGTGGAGTCTTTTATTTATTATTTTTAAAATCTTTATTAAATATCCTTATTAAAGTTATTTATGTCAGTTTCGATATTAAAAATTAATTAATACAAATTACTATTAATATTTATTGTTTTTTTATAAGTTTTTTTTTTATATATATAAACGTTAAAATCTCCAATATAAAAAATTGATAATAAAATAAAACCTTAATGAGTTGTTATAAAAATAACAATGTATTTTTAAAAATTTATATATATTAAAATATTTCAAGTAAATAAAAAAAGACTGTAAACTTCATACTAATTTTCTTATAACTAAAATTTGTATTTCCTAAAATTGTTATTAGGCTCTTTGCTTAGAATGTTAAAGTATACACGATTATATGCATTTAAATTAAAATACATAGAGTAATATAAAAAGTTTATCAAATTTAATGAAGTATACTTATTAAATACTTAATGAATAATCTTATTAATTTAATTAGTAATATTTAAAAATAAAAGAAATTGAAGATTAAAATTAATAATTTGAAGAGTGTGTATTTGATGTATAAAAAAGCAAAGAAAACATAATTTAAATAATAGATGATTATTTTCAATAAATTAATAATTTAATAGAGGAAAATAAACTAAAATATGAAAATGAAAAAATGAATTATTTTGTAAATTTATAATCAAATATTGAAAAAGTAAATTATAATATAGAGTAAATAGATATAATTTAAAAAAAATTGTATTCAGAAGAATTTATTGATGCAATAATAATAGTAAGAGAAATATATATAAATATATACATATATATTATAACAATAAATAAAGATATTAAAAAATTAACACTTACATTAAGGTTTTTTAGGAATTTAATAAGAAATATAATAAAATATTAATAAAAGTAAAGAATATTTGCTTTTTGTAGAAAAAGATCTTGATTAATTTAAGAATAAATTAAAAGATTGTATTTAAATTAAATCTCAATTACAATAAATAAATAATGAAGATTAAATTATAAACTAGAATAAAATAACATTTCAAACTAATGCATAGTTAAAAAGAGTTTTTTTTAAAAAAATAAATTAAAATAATAATTCCTTTTATTAAAAAAGTATTAATAATGAAAATATTAAAAATAGTTTACTTATAGAGTAAACTACTACTTTTCATTAACAAGAACTCTAAGTTTAAAGTTTCGAAAATTCTTTTAATAAATATTAATATTAAGGAAGTCCTTAAAGTGTAAGAAAAAAAATATTTGAAAATGAAAACCAAAATTAATTTATGTTTAGATCTTTAAGTAATTAAAGATAAAGTTCATCTTTAAATAAATAATTATAATAAAGTTTTAAACAAAATAAACAATTACAAAAGATTAAAATATTAAGTAAGCTATATAATTATTTTAAATCAAAGAAACTTTATATAAAAAATTAAAAATATCTTTTATTTTAATTAAAAGATCGAAATAACAACTGTCTTAATTCAACATAACAAAAGAAAGAAGTGTTTGTAGAAATGCCCAATTATTTTGAAAATGATACAATGAAATATATAGTTTATTTTCAACAAAATACAAATATAATGAATTATTTTGACTTAAATTAAATATCTGAATCAAACGGAAATATAGATTAAAAAATATAACAAAAACAGCTTTCTATTGATATCAAAATATCTTTATATCATCGAAGTGTAGTAACTCCAGATTTGTAAAAAATTAAAAAAAATATTTGAAAAAAACAAAACAAAAAAAGATAAGTTTTTTTAACTGGAGGTGCATAAGGCTTTAATATTTTAAATAAATGCTTTAAATTAAATATACGATATAATAATTATACATTAGAACCGATTTGTTAAATGAATTTTTCTCGTTCTAATCATGGTATTGTTTATTTTTAAGGATTTATTTATGTAGCAGGAGGTCAAAATAATATAAAAAGTCTATCTTTTGACAAATGTGAAAGGTATTTTTATTTTTATTATTTAAATGTAGATATTTATTTAGATATAATATTATCTTAGATAAATGGGAAATAATAGCTAGTTTAAACGAAAAATGTTTCGGTTGTTCTTTAACTAGTTTCCATAATAAATATATATATAAATTTGGAGGAAAATAAGATTTACTAATTTTTGTGAATACAATAGAAAGATATAATATTTATAAAAATATATGGGAAAAAATAAATATTAAAAATAAAATAAATATTTAAATTGGTAATTTAAGTGCTGCTTGTTAAATTAATAGTGATGAAATTTTGCTTGTTTAATAAAATAATTGCTTTATAATAAAAATTTATTAAAATGAATGTGGATTTACAGAAATAAAAGGTAGTTTATCTAAAGGAGATTTTAGTAATAATCCAATTATTAACGATAATTAAATATTTTTTTTATAAGATATGGAATTAAAAGATAATAAATTTACTGATTAAAAAAAAATTTTATGTTTTAATAGTTAAAATTGGCTTTAATTTTGATTTTATAATAAATAATAATTTTTGTAATAAGTTTATTATTTTTTATATTTATTTATTTATTTGGATTGTTATTATAGTATATAAAGAATTTATAAATATTATATATATATATATTGCTTTATGTTTTTTCGTTCCATTATTTAAAAATATCTACAATAAATATAAAGGAGACAAATAATTGATAATTTCTTTATACTTTTTTTAGTGGGAATTATTAAAAAATACTAAGGTAAAAAATAAAAAATAATATTATATGTGAAATTAATGTTACTTATTATAAGAATATTTTTTTTTCAATTTTATTATTAAAAATAACTTTACTATTATTCTTTACAAAATACAGTATAATATTCTTTATTGAAATAATTTAAATAAAAAAAAAATTGTTTTTAAAAAACTAATATTTGTTATATCTATCTAAAGTAACTATTATAATTCAAAAAAGTTAAAAATAAATGTGATAATTTAATAATTATATAAAATTTATAATTTGTAATATTATAAAAATATAAACTGTATATTAAATTAAAATATATATTTTATAAAAAAATGGGAGAAACTTTATGTATAATAAATATATAAAAATATAATATTAAGATTACAAAAATAAAAATAAATATATATATAAATATAAAAAAAAATATTTATTAATCAAAAAATAAAAAAAAAATATTAAAATATATTGATATATATTTATAGAAAAAAAAAAAAATAATATATATATATATAAATATATATATATTTATTTATATATATATTTATATATTTATATATTTATATATTTTTTTATGTAATAATATAGATATTTATTATATTTACATATAATTAAAATAATATTTTTTATTTTTTTTAAATATATTTATTTTATTTTATTTCTGTTTTATTTTTTTTATATTTTTATTATTATTTTTGTAATAAGTTTTTTTTATTTATTTCATATATGAAAATAAAACGTAACATCATACATATATTAGGAGGTATAATATAAAATTTTTATTATTAATTTTTTTTATTTATATATGCTATTTTTTTTTTTATTTTTTAGGACCAGGGTGTGGTAAAGGAACATAATGTTAAAATCTTTAAAATAAATTTAATTTTAAGCATTTATCCGCTGGTGAGTTATTAAGAAATGAAGTACTCATAATTCTATATAAAATTTCTGTTTTAAATAATTTATATTAGTGTTAAAATATTAAAAAAGTAATAAAAGTAAGATTCTAAGTATACTTAAATAATACAAAATTGCATTTAATAAGGAAAAATAGTTCCTGTAAGAAAAAAAATAAAAAATAATAAAAAAAACATAATTAAGGATTTCATAACTTGCAATTTATTAGTATAAAATATAAAAGAAGATAAAGTTTATGTAAAATAATAAATATAAAGATAATATAATTATAATTTTTTTAATTCCTAGACTACTTTTTTAATTGATGGATATCCAAGAAATCAAGAGAATCTAAATGGCTGGCTAAAGGCTGTAATTGAGAATGATTTTCAAATAAAAGGCTTGATTTTTTTACAAAGTTCAATTGTAATTAAAAAATTACAGAAAATAATAAAATAATATATTTTATGTTATTTTTTTGTTATTTAATAAAACAAATAAACATAAGAATACAATGTGGGAAAGGGTTTAAATCAGACAATAATCAAGTGTAAAAAGAGAAGATGATAATTATTATTCGTTTAATAAAAGAGTGTAAGTATTTAATAATGAAACAATGAAAGTTATTGAATATTTTAAATAGCTAAATTAATGTTTAATTGTAAAAAAAAAAAAAGTTATTTTTTTTTTAATAAAAATAAAAGATAAATAGTGAAAATACAAAAGATTAAATATTTTAAGAAATAAAATAAAATATTAAATAATTTTTATGAAAAAATATATTTAATAATAATTAAAAATATATAAATAATTAAGTATAATTTCTAAAAGATTTATTTTTTATTCTTTTTTTATTTCATAAATATCTCAATTTTTATTATTAATTTAAGATGATTATTTATAAAATATCTTATATTTTATTCTTTAGAAATATTAAATTTTGGATATTTATATCTCTAAATTTTCCAACTTTTGGATTTATAATGAAGTAACATTTTAAAGTATGTCAATTTCATTAAAAATAAATTTCAAATTATCTTAAAGATTATGATATCCAATTGAAAATCATAAATTTCTCTAGTTGTATTCATTTATATACAATTTATTTAATTAATCTTTATTATAGTTTTATTTTTAATTTTTAGTTATAAAAATAGTATTTTATTTCACAAATATTAAATAAACATTTTTTTAATAATAAATTTATTATTTCAATATTTAAATCTATTCCTTTTTCCTTTTTAATTGGTTTTTCTTTTTTTGTAATTGTTTTTTTTTATTTAATTTTTTACAAAATATATTATTAATTTATATATTCATTTTCACCTTTCATTTTATAGTTTATTTTTTATAATATATCTCATTTTTCTTTTATTTTTTATTTTTTTTGATTTTTAAATTTTTTTTATTTCTATCTATCTTATTTTAATTTTCCTTTTACTTTTAATTAGTATAATATTTATATACATTCTTTAAAAAAAATTATTTACTTATTCTTTTGTTTAGCAATTATTTTAATGATTTTTTTATTAATAGCATTTATTCATTTCAAGAAGATTTATTAGCATGTAATATTTTATAATTATATTAGGTTTGTACACAAAAATATTAATTAACATATTATTTAAAATTTAAATATTATTATATAAATTTTTATACATTATACTATTTTTTATACCCATTAACTTATTTATTTTTTGTTTAATATTTATATTTAATAGGTAATGTTAGGAGTTTAATTAAGTATAATTTTATATAAATAATGCTTTATCTGAAGAAGCTATATGTAAATCTGACTATTATTTATTTATATAGAGTTAAAAAATTAATATATTATTTATTTTCTTTTAAGCTCATATTTAAAATAATTATGAACTATATTAGTAATTTTTTTGTGTTAAAAAATAAAAGAGAAAATAATTTAAAGTAGAGTATTAATTTTTTTATTTTTTTTTATAAAATATAAAATATATTTTTAAAACATATTTATTATATATATTAATTTTTCATATAATAAATTTCATAATTTGTAAAAAATAAATAAAAATACATTATATTTATAAAATAATATATAAGAAATATATATATTACATTAAATATTTAATAATTAATTAAAAAAAAAAATGTTTTTTAAGGAAACAAAAAATTAATTATTTATTAATAAAAATATTAAAATGAAATAAAAAAAATAATTTTTTGTTAAATTTAAAAAATTCCATTTATTATTTAAATATTATTAATTTTAAAAGATAGATGATCAATATAATTTTTATATTTAAATTATTATTATAAGATTATAGTCATTTAATAAAAAAAAATATTTAAAAATTATTTTTAAAATATTACAATTTTTAAGAATTATATATATTAAAATATCTAAATAAAATTAAATCTTAAAATTAATAATAAAATTTAATGCTTTGTGATAAATATATAATTAATAAATAATTTTATAAAAAAAATATTTAATTTATTAATTAAAAAAAAATTAATATTTATTTAAAAATTAATAAGATTTGTCTAAAATATATAGAAAAATGATAATATTTTATTTTTTTAATAAAATTCTATTTAAAAAAAATATAAATAAAAACAAAATTATTAATATATAATAAAAATTAAATTAATATATATAGGAAAATCTTATAAAATAAAAAAATAAAAAATTAAAAAGAAAATATATATATATAAAAAAATAAAAATCATATAATTATAAATAAAAAGAAAAGAAAAAAAATTATTACAAAAAAGATATAAAATTATTATTATTAAAAATAATAAAGATGATAATAATAAGGTGATAATAATAATAAAATTAATAATAATAATAATAATAATAATAATAATAATAATACTTTTTAAATAATAATAGTAATATAGATAGTATAATTAGTAATACAAAAAATATTATATAAAATTTTATTATATATTTATAATTATAAAATAATTATAATAATTTTAAATTTGTATTTAATATTTATTTATTTAATTTTGTCTTAATTCTTAAAACGTTTTTATATTAAAATTCTTTTATTAAATATTAAATATAATATATATATCAAAATAAATATAAAAATAATGTTAAACTTATAAATTTTTGCTTTAATTATTGCTTTTACATATTCTTTAAATTTACATAAAGGTTCTGATGAATGGTAAGTTATTAATATTTCTATTAACTTTTCTATAAATTAAAACTTTGGAATATATTAAGCCTAATTAGAATTATTAGTTGTATTAAAATAACATTAATTAATATTATTAAAAATTGAAAGTGTTAACTACAAATAAGATTTAGCTTTATTATACTAAATTAAATTTACATACTAAGATCTAAATGGTCAAAAATAGCATGGTATAGCTGTTATATCTATTTAGTAATTAGAAACTTAATATTTGAGCTAAATAAATAGTTTAGAATTAAATTAGAAATTGTAAATATCTTATGACAAAAATAATAAATGGATTGACTACCCTGTAGAAAACTAAGATTATTTATCTATTTAAGACCCTGGAATTATATAAAGTATTAGTGAAATCAAGAACTATTTGAATACTAAGAGATTTAAATTATATAAAGTTAATAATATGTAAGTATAATAACATAATTAATTTAATATTAAAGTTTCTTTTAATTATTATAATGACTAAAATCAATTGAAAAACGGTGAATGTATTATTAATCTCATATTTATGCCAAAAGATGCATTTATAACTAATTTAGAATATATTAATTTAAATGAAAATAATAGCTTTTGAATAAATAATTTTTATTTTAAAATTAATTAATAAATTATATATATTTTTTTTTTATAAATTACATATAAATATTAATAAGTATAAGTTTTATATTATATAAAACCTTGAATAAATTAATTTTATATTCATTTCATTAAAATTATATTATTTTATTTAATATATTTTTTATTTTTCACATAATGATTAATTTATTAGTTTATATATTATTTGTAAATATAGTTTTTTGTTTTTGTTTTTTTTTCTGTAATTTTTACAAAAAACTCGAGAAAAATTAATAAATTTTTAATGTAGTTTTTAAAAACAATTATACAAAAAATAAAATGACATATAAAGCAAATGAAATTTATTAAAAAAGATAATAATTTTGTTGTTTAAGAATAAATGAAAATATACTTTTTTATTTAATAAATAAAATAAATAAAGAAAATTAAATTAATTAAGATATTATTATTATCTAATGTTATTTATCAATAATTTAAAATTTAATAAAGAACCATATAAAAGAAAAATAATTAAAAGAATAGTAATTAATTTAATGAAATTCAATAAATATAGTGAAAGTAAAAGGAATTTTTTTTATTAGAAAAATGTTTATATATATATATACATAAATTAAATAATATTAAATAACATTATAAATAAATTAATTCCTTAGGAAAATAATTATATATAATAAAACAAAAAAAATTAAATCTATAAAATTTAAATTATAAAAAAAGGAGAATTTTCATTAGTTTGTCTTTGTTTAATTTATAAAAACAACAAAGCATATGAAATAAAATAAATATTCACAAAAAAAAAAAATTAAATGATTTTAATGGCTTTTAAAAAACTCAATTTAACAAAAAAAACATATTATACGCAGTTTCTCATCTATTTTTGTTTTTGATTGTGAGTTTTTTAAAAAATTAGAGAAAAATAAAAAAAAAGTATAAATAAATAATATATAAAATATATAGTACAAAAATTACAATAACCTTTTTAATTAAAAAAATTGAATATAAAAACACTATAAATAAAAATCCTTTAACTATTAAATGAGAATTAAATTATAAATTATGATATATAACCCAGAAAACATACTTATTTATTTATGATAAAGGAAATTAAAAATTTTAAAAAATAAATTTTATTAATTTATGTACTTATATTTTATATTAGGAAAATAATTAATATGAAATAAATAATACTTTTATTCAAAAAATACACATTAAAATATTTAATATTTGAAATACAAATAGAATTTTAAATTAACATTTTAGTAGTTATTTACTTTTTAAAGTTGATGTATGGTCTTTTGGAGTTTATATTTTAGATATTATTTTAAGACTTCCTGATTACTAACGATATAAATGTATTTTAATAGATAATTCAATTTGTAATAGTATTTTTAAGAATAAACAATTTTCTACTAAATATTAAGTATTAGATAAATAGATTTTGTTTAATAAATTTTATTTGTAATTTGTTTTTATCAATTCAATAATTATAATTAAGGGTAAATATTTAATAAACTACTTTGATAAACGATGAAAATAAACCTAAAGATAAGGTGGATATTTTAAATCGATATATTTTTAATAATAATGTATAATTTTTTATAATAATAATAATATTATTTAATGGATTTTTTTTAATTTATATTATAAGTTTTAAAAATTATTAAGTTTTTTAATTTAAATTAAATAAATTGTTATATTTTAAAACTAAATCTTAATATATATTTTAATTTTTAAACAAAATTATATATTTCTTGATTTTAAAAAAATTGTAATATTATTAGTACTTAAAATTGGAAAAAAAGAATACATTTCAGATATTTGTAATTAATACAGATACAATAATAATAGTAATAAAAATTGTTATTATTCTTAAATTATATTAAAGATAATATAATAATAATCAAATGGAAACAACACTTTAAGAATAAATTAATATTAATAAATTAAATAAATATTGATTTTCCAAATTTAAAAAAATAAAAAGTTTTCTCAAAATTTTATAATAACTTTAAAATAAACATTTATAAAGGAAATGTAAATTGGTTTTATAAACAGTACCTATTTTATATTTAAAAACTAATTAAAATCCAGTTGAAAAATATCCAAAATTTTGAAAAATTAATTCCATTTAAAAATAATTAATAAATTTATAAAAAGCATTTATATATAAATTTTTTGTTTCTTAATATTTCATTTTTTTTTTTGTAATTTTTGTTTTATTTTTATAAAATATTAAAAAAATTTTATTATTTATATTAAAAAAAATATAAAGCTAAAAATTAAATTTATAAATATTATATATACATATATAATAAAAAAATGGAAGATACTTAGTCATTAAAAGTATATAAAGAATAAAAAAAAGGTTGATATTACATATAGTTATAAAAAAATAATTAATATATAAAAAAAAGCTCATTAAGATTAAATATTATCTATAGATGTAAATAAAACTAATTAAAACCAAATCATAACATCATCAGATGACAAAACAATACGTTTATGGGATTTAAAATGCAAAAGTTCAGTAAAGTTATTTAGAAGTTAAGAAATAAAAAATAATTATTAGTTAGCCAATTGTTTGTTTGGTCCAAACGATACAATATTATTAGCAGTTTCAAACAAAGTTTTATAATTTGATTTAAGAAAAGAGGAGATATTCGTAAATGAAACATTAAAGAAATCAGAAAATTAAATGGACGAAATAAACTAAATTTCATTAGATATAAATTAAAATATACTTGCATGTTGTGATGATTAGTAAACAAAAAAACCTAATTTTTTTTTTTTTTAAAAAAAAAAAAAAAAAAAAAAAAAGAGGAGATACACATATATTAAATGCCAAAAATTTAGAAAGAATAAAATCATTTGCAAATAATCATACAAATGCAAAAAATTAAATATATATATAATAAAATATTTTTTATTATATTATATAAAGATATCATATTCAACTGATTTTTGTTATAAAGATAATGATTTTAGTAATCCTATATGTATTACAAGTTCTTTTGATTGTCAAGTATTACTTTGGTAATTAGAGAATCCGCATCCTATTCGTACTGTAAATATTAATTCTTTACTTTAGAAATATATGCCTAATTAACTTGTTTGTCCTCCTAATATTTACAGTGTTTATGGATATAAAAGTTAGATTTTAGTAAGTACAGAAACTGGGCATATTCTCTGTTTTGGGTAAAAAGATATTAAAAAACCTAAGTATATTATTGATGGACATTTAGGAAAAGTTATGAGGAGTGTTTTTGCGAAATTTAATGAAAAGTATATACTTTCTTGCTCTACTGATAAAACTTTTGCAGTATGGAATCATCATTAAAGAAATGAATTGGGTTAAGCATCTTTTGTTTCTAAATTCGATATTGGTACTAAACCTAATTGGATTGAAAGCTCAATAAATAATTAAATTTTTATTGGTGATATTACTCCCAATTTAAGTATTTATACAATTAAATGAATAATTTAAATTTTATTTTATTTGTATTTAATATTGTAATGAGTTTGTTTTTTTTTAAAAAAAAATTTTTTTAATAATTATTTTTAGATTTATGATATTATTAAAATATAATTTTTTTTTAAAAAAAAAATATTAATTAATTTATTAATATATAATATTTATATAAATTGAAAAATTTATATAAAAAAAAAAAAATAAAAAAAAATATTAAAAGGGTTAAAAATAAATTATTTGAATATAAAATAATATTTTAGTTATTTATTTTTTTAAAAAAAATATTAAATTAAAAACTAAAATAAAAATAAATAAAAACCATTCCTAAAATTAAAACAAATAAAAAATCCTACTAAAAATAAAAATGGATTAAGAAGAAAAATATTAAAACCAAAATATAAGCAAATCCCTAAGCATAGAAGAAGGCGAAATCGAAATATAAAATGAAACTAAGATATAAATTTATAATTAAGCATAAGAAAATGTATAATAAGAAATAAATAATACAAATGAGTAAATTTTAGATAAAGAACAAACAAATCAAGTCATTTATTACTTTAATGACTCTAATTAATCTGAATGGAGTTCTAGTTGTTAAAATACAGATCTAGAAGAATAATAAGAAAATTCAAATATAAACAAAGAAAAGATAAATGCTTATATGGAAGATATTTTCTCAGATGAAGAATAAAATAATAAAGGAGAAATTTTGAAAACTAAAAATGAAGTTTTAGTCCCTAAAGAAATTTAAATTGAAGAAAACGAAGAATAAAGATTAAAACGTTTAGGAATAGAATTAAAAAAAGAAGAGTAAGAAACTCAATAAATCGAAGAAATAGGTAGAGTAGAAGGAATAATTGAAGATAAAATAGTAGTATAAGGAAATCAATAAATAATATTAGATTTAGATAGTGTATTATTTACAGAAAAGAAGACTGTAATAGGTTTAATAGAAGATGTATTTGGTAATGTAAAAAATCCTTATTATTCAATATTAAAGGATGGTTATATAAAGGAATTAATAAAAAACTAATAAATAAAGATTGGTGAGAAAGTTTATATAATAAAAGGGTATACAAAGGTTTTATTAGAGGAATAATTATAAAAAATGATGCAATAAAAAGGATGTGATGCTTCAAACAAATTTGATGAGGAAGTGTTGAATAAAAATGAAATGGAATTCTCGGATGATGAATTAGAATAAAAATCTAAATTGAAAAATAAATAAAAAGAAAGGAAATAAAAATTAGATGAAAATAACTTTTAAAAAATAATTACGATAATGAAAAACGAAAATGGAGTACTAAAAAAGATGTAGGTATCACAAGAAGAATTCGATAATATTAAAAATAATCCTAATAATAAAATTGAGCATATGAATAATAAAAATATGAAACAATAATATTATAAAAATAATATAAATAATAATAATAATAATAATTATAATAAAAATTTTTATAAAAAAATAAAGGAAATAATTCATATAATCCTTAAAAATAAAATTAATTTAGATAATAAAACTAATAAAACTAAATATAATAATAATAATAATAATAATAATAATAATAATAATAATAATAATAATAATTTCAGTCGACTTATTTATTTAATAATTCTTAGTAATAATAGTTTGATTAAAATATTAACTTTAATAATAATTTAAACTTTAATCAATTTTAATATTAAAATCAAAATAATAACTAATAAATCATTAATTAAAATTAAGGATATTTTAACTATTTACAAAATTAATAATTTTAATAAAACAATTTCTAAAAATAGAACATCTAAGGTAATTTCTACTAGAAATAATACTAATAGAATTAAAATAATAAATATGTGTGATTTAACATTTTTACAATTATATTTATATTACCAATATTGAGTGAATCTTTAATAATTTAATTAAAAAAATATAAAATTTAAATTTAAAACTTTAATACTATATTAAATCGTTATTTTAATTATAAAAAGATAAAATAAATGAAATATATTTATTATTATAAAAAATAAATCCTCAAAATTTATTTTTATTTTATAAAGTTTAGCTTTTATATATTTTAGTTTATATTACAAATTTAAAGATTTTATTTTAATTTTATATATTTTTTTTTTTGCTTAAAATTCAATATTTAAGAATATTCATTAAAGATTATTTTTTTAATCTTGTTAATCTTTAACTTTTACATGATAATTCTAAAAAAAATAATAATAAAATAATAAATATATGAATTTATTAATTATTTACTAATTATTAATTAGTTTAACTCTTCATCTTATTGTTATTTTTTTAATAATTAATTCATTTATAATTATGAAACATTTAAATGCTATAAAAGGGAATAAAAATCATTATGTGTAAAGTTTTCATTGTATTTATCCTTAATTAATTAAAAATTCTCATCATCTTAAATTTGGTTTTATAATTTTGATAATTATTTAAATTTTTTAATTACATATATATGAATCTGATTTTTTATAAACATTATTATTTAATATACTTTAGAAATTTTTTTAATTTTAATCTTGCCATTATTAAATATCTTTTTAAAAAATTAAAAAAAAATTATTAAATGATATTATAAAAAATACTTATCTAATTAAATACAGGAATTTTAGCTTAAAATTATTCTCCTACAAATATTTGTCCTTTTTAATATTCTCTAAATTACTCAATTTCTTTATTCTTTTACTTTTTTTGATTTTTTCTATATTAATTTAGTAAAAATATAAATTATTTTATTTATAAATAAATAATATAAAGGAAAAAATATACTTTTAATTAATAAAATTAAATTAATCATCCTTCTATAACTTAATAATAATTAAATATTAAAAAATAATTTTATTTATTATTACACTATCATTTTCTTATATTATTTTAATATCTTATTAATTAGATATTAATTATTATTATATTTGTTGTGTATATTTATCACTTTTTTATATTTATTTTGTTTTCTATAGTCTATTTTTATTATAATATTATTATTATTATCTATTATATTTTAAAAATTATGTTTATAATTTAATTTTTTTTTTATATATAAAATTTGTTTACTTATTGTATTCTTCTTTACTTGCTTTTTCTGAATTTTAAATACATAAACTTTTTTTCTTTTAATTATTAGATAAGTGTTTATTATATATTTTATTCTATTGTTTTTTAATTAATTTATAATTCTTTTATTTATTTAAATTATCTTATTCTTCACTTTCATCATCTATTATTATTATACTAGATTCTTTCCTTAATTTAACTTATGATCTAAAAAAAAAAAAAAGTTCATTATATATTATTTATACAATTATTGAATATATATAAAAATATTGTATACATTATTAAGAATTATATATTAAAATAAATATTTCTTTATTATAAAAATTTAAATTAAATAAATATATTTTAATAATATAATCTTTTTGTTCATTTTTTATGTTTGAAATCATAAAAAAAATATATATATTTTTTTTTAAAAAAATAAAATATTTACTGTTAATTTAAATTTTAATTTAACTCAATAAGTTTCTAGCCGTTATATGTTTAAATATTCATTTAATTATTAAATTTTTCAATTAAATTTTAACTATTTATTTAATAATTGAAAAGTTCAGTCTTAAATCCATTTTAGTTTTGTTATTATACACCAATATTAATTTAATCACTTTTTAAATATCAATTATTTATATAAATTAAATTATAAATTTAAATTTTATTCATTTTTTTTACTTTTTAAAATTTTAAACGTTATAGAGAAAGGCCAAAGGAAATTATAATTAATACAATTAAGGTAAATAAGCTAATGGATAATACTAAAAAAAAGGATCCTATAAAAATTTTAAAATGTTTAATAAAATTTATTTTTATACAATAGAACATTAATTTTGATTGTTTTATTATTACATTTTATATTTAGTTTGTATATTTTTATTTAACTTTTAATATTATTTATTATAAATAATGACTTTAAAAAAAATTTAAATAATACTTAAATAACTTTATATTATATGTTTGCTTTTAATTTTTTAATATAAAAATAATTTTATTTTAAACAATTATATAATAAATTTTAATAATAATTTATTGTAAAATAACTATTTATTAATTTGATAAAATATAATTATGAATAACTAATTTTAAGTTTATTCTAGTAATAATATAAAAGTTATTTAAATAAAATATCTTTTTTAAAAATGTATAATATAATAATAAATATTTTTTTAAATTATTGAATTATTAATTTTATAGAAAAAAAAATTGAAATAAATATATTTTGCTTCATATAAAATATATATTATTTTATAAATTTTAATTTTAAATTTTATTTATATATTTCTTTATTATTTACTTTCTTATGAATAAAAAACTAAAACAATTGAAAAAAATATTATTTTTTATGATAATATTATATATAATTTAAAATTTTATTTTGTATATATATAAAAATCTATTTCAAATTTCAATTATATAAAAAAAAATGTATATTAATATTTTTATACTTTTTTAAATTTTTATAATATATATATATATATATATATATATATATATATATATATATATTCTATATTA